GCTTTCGATTCCTGCTGCTGCTGCTGCTGCTGCTGCAACTTGTTGCGCTGCCGCTGCTGCAGCCTCTCCACGATTGCCGTTGTTGCAGGTGTTGGCCCCAGCAGCTCATTGACCACCTGCTCTAATTGCGTCATCAGCCCTTCCTGCTGCTGCTGCTGCTGCTGCTGTTGTTGCTGCTGCTGCTGCTGCTGCTGGTGCGGCATCTCTTGCAAGATGCCCCCAGGCAGCACAATCCAGTCACCGGGAAATGGCACAACAAAGTCCGCGCCGCCAACCGCCTTATAACTGCAGCAGCAGCAGCAGCAGCAACACCGAAGTGGTTTAAGCTGACACTTATGCACAAATACAGAAGCGAATATAAACGTAAATATAAATATCTAAATACAAACTTAAACACAAATATAAATACAAATATAAATATAAATATAAATGTAAATATTAATACAAATATAAATACAAATAATATACAAATATAAATATAAATATAAATATAAATATAAATATAAATATAAATATAAATATAAATATAAATATAAATATAAATATGAGTATAAATATAAATATGAATATAAATATAAATAAAATATAAATATAAATAAAATATAAATATACATAAAATAGATTTATCTTCTGCGTGCAGAAATGAATAATGCACGTGCAAGCAAGTGTACATACACCGCAGGGAAGCGAATTTGGACAACAAATCGAATTTAATTAGTTTAATTTAATTTAATCTAATAAATTAAATTAAATTAAATTAATTAAATCAATTAAATCGACTAAATCAATTTAAATTTAATTTAATTTGAAGAAAGCCCACATGCAGCCGCCGCTGTCCACCAAGACAAACCTCACGCTGCGGGTGGACAGCAGCAGGAAACCTTTTGCTGCTGCTGTCAGCTGCAGCAGCGGAGCAGCAATCCATTCCCCGCTGCTACTGTGCAGCAGCTGCGCGCTGCCCCCGGCCCAGCCAGCAGCAGCAGCAGCAGCAAAGGCCCCAGACAGAACCACGCAAATCCCGCTCATGCTCACTGCAGCAGCAGCAGCAGCAGCAGCAGCAAACGCAGCAGAAGCAGAAGCATGATGCACACAGACAGAAACGCAGCCAAATAGGCACTGTTGTTGCTGCTGCTGCTGCTGCTGCTGTTGCTGCTGCAGCTCCAGCATATTCGAGGCAGCTCTTTCGTCTAACTTGACTAAATGACTATTTTGCATAATTAATTAAAACTAAACATGTAATTAACCATTTTAAATTAAATTAAACAATTAATTAATTAATTAATTAAATTGCCTTTTAAATTCTTACATCGGTCTCCTGCTGCTATCCGGCCGTCCCTAACGCTCACAACGCGGCTGTGGGGAGACAGGGGGTAAAAATAGCTGTTGTGCTGCTGCTGCTGCTGCTGCAGTTGCTGCTGCTGCTGCTGCTGGCCATATACGCTGCGCTCATCCAGTGTGGGCCCTTGGAGTTGGTGCTGCTGCCGCTGTGCGTATTGCTGCTGCTGCTCCTGCTCCTGCTGCTGCTGCTGCTGCTGCTCGGTGACTATCTGCAGCAGCCGCTGCTGCTGCTCCTGCTGCTGCTGCTGCTGCTCTGGCTGCAGCAGTAGACAAGCTGGGAAGGCAGAGTCGTCTGTCTCGCAACGGCCGCAACGGAAATCATGCTCTCTGCTGTTTGCGTCTACACACAGCAGCAGCAGCAGCAGCAGCAGCAGCAGCGCAGCAACACAAAAGTACAATATTTGCCAATGGGTCTGTTTATATTCTACCGGAAGCAAATTGATAAGATGCAAAAAGAGAAGACAGACTGAAAGTGCTGCCGTCAGTAAGTGGAGCAGCTACTGCCTCCCACAGCAACAGCAACAGCAACAGCAGCAGCAGCAGCAGCAGCAGCAACAGCACAACAAGGACCTTGTCAACCGCAACTGCAAATATATAATTGTCATCACCAGCAGCAGCCATACCATCAACATCAGCAGCAGCAGCAGCAGCAACAGCAGCAGCAGCAGCAACAGTACCAGGGGTTCCCTGGAGTTCCACAAATCCTAAATCTTGGAATGGAGTACAGCAGCACGAATGCAATGCTGTTTTGCTGCTGCTGCCCGCCGGGCCCGCAGGCGCCTTCGCTGAGAGCAGCAACTAGCTGCTGCACTTGTTCTTGCTGCTGCAGCACGCGCTGCAGCACGGAAGTGCCTGCTTCTGCTTCTGTCGCTGCTGCAGAAAACCCCAGAAGAGCTGCAGCAGCAGCAGCAGCAGCAGAAGAACGCGCATGCAGGCAACACGCAAACGGACAAAGTTGCAGTCACACGTGGGGGAACGGCTGCCGTTACGGCTGCTGCTGCTGCTGCTGCTGCTGCTGCTGCTGCAAGGCACTTACGGCTAGGGATTGCTGTGCTTAAAGCCAGCGTTTCTGATTCGCTCCAGCTCCTTTCGAGCCGATTTGTCAGGCTTGCTGCTGCTGCTGCTTGTGCTTTTGCTGCTGCAGTTGCTGCTGCTGCTGCTGCTGCTTCCGCCTGTGCTGCTGCTGCTGCGGCGGCTGCTTCTGCCTGCGCTGCTGCTGCCGCTGCTGCTGCTGCTCTGGGAAGGCGTGTTGGACTCCTTCTGCTTAGGACTGGCCACGCTACTGCTGCTGCTGCCTCTGCTAGCTGCTGCTCAGTTTGTCGCTGCTGCGGCTGCTGCTGCTCTGTTTGTCTTGGCTGCCGCTGCGGAGGCTGCTGCTGCTGCCAAGGCTTATGTTGCCGGGGTTGCCAGGGCCTCTGCGGCTTCTGCTGCCATGGCTGCTGCTGCTGCTGCTGCCGTGGCTGTTGCTGCCAGGGTGGCAGCTGCTGCTGGTGCCAGGGCGGAAGTTGTTGCTGCTGCTGGTGCCAGGGCTGCTGCTGCTGGTGCCAGGGCGGCAGTTGCTGCTGTTGCCAGGACTGATGCTGCTGCCATGGCTGCTGCTGCTGATGTCGCTGCTGCCACGGCTGCTGCTGCTGATGATACCGTTGCTGCTGCGGGTGCCGTGGCTGCTGCGGCTGCCGTTGCTGCTGACGCAGTTGCTGCTGCTGCTGTTGCGATTGCTGCTGCCGGGGCCTGAATTCTCTAGCGGCAATAGGCTGTGCTGCTGCTGCTGCTAGTTCTTCGATTGGCGCTGCAATGTTTGCTGCCGCTTCCTCTAGGACAGGAGCGACAACTGCAGCAGCAGCAGCTGCTGCTGCTGCCTCCGCTGCAGCAGCAGATGCGTCCAAAGAAGCAAAAGGCTCCGGAGCTTCAAGGTAAGGCGACGACACAAGTCGATGCTGTTGCTGCTGCGGCTCCTCCTGCAGTTGCTGCTGCAGCTGCTGCCGCTGCAGCTGCTGCTGCTGCACTTGCCGCCCCTGCTGTTCTTGCTGAAGAAGCTGCTGGGGCGGGTGCAGCAGGTGCTCCGGCAGCAGCAGCGGCTCTTGCAGGTGCTGCTGCTCTCCTTGCTGCTGCTGCTGCTGCTGCTGCTGCGGCTGGCAAGCGTCGGAAGGCAGCAGCATCTCCCTTGACCTCCACCTGGGTGCTCTGCTGGCCATTTTCCTAAACACACCAAGTTGCTGCTGCTGCTGCTGCTGCTGCTGCTGCTGTTGGCCGCCGCGGTGAGGCCGTCGAGGCCCACTGGCGGCTGGGTGGCGCTGAAAAAACGAGCGATCGAATAATAAACAAAAAAGAAACAAGAAAACAAACAACTAAATAAATAAACAAATAAATAAATAAATAATAAACTCTTTTATTTGCTTGTTTCAGTTTGCGCGGAAAACGGAGAGCGACCAGCACCGCTAGATCTGAGGCGCCGCAATCCGCTGCTGCCGCTGTTGCTGCTGCTGCTGCTGCTGTAGAGGCATTTCGCCATAACCATTGCCCCCCCCATTATTCTCTTTGTTCTTTTAGTTATTTTTTATAAATAAAATAAATTTTAGGCGGAAATAAAGGAACAAAAGGGTGTAAAATGCCTCAGGCTGGCTGCAAGCTCGGCGGTCCCGGCGCTGCTGCTGCTGCTGCTGCTGCTGCTGCTGCTGCCGCTTCTGCAATGAAGCAAGGATCCTGGTACATATTTATTGTAACATAACAGCAAATTTAGTGTTTGTGCACAGGTTCTGCTGCTGGAGCGCCAGCAGCAGCTGCAGCAGCAGCAGCAGCAGCAGCAGACCAATGGACCATTGGTCTTGCTCTGGCCGCAACACAGTATCGGCACGTGCCTGTCTCTACACTGTAACTGCACATTTTCTTGTTTTTCATTTTAATTCTTTTATTTATTTTAATTCTTTTTGATGCATTTGAACAGACAGAAGAAGTACTGGGGGAGGCTGTGTTTCAGAAAGTGATCAACCCTGGCCCAGAGCCCTAAACCCTAAACCCTAAACCCTAAACCCTAAATCCTAGATCAGAAAGTCTCGACCCCTAGCACTCAAAGAACCAATGAACTTCCACTTTTGTTTCAAGGCTCTAGTTTAGTTTCAATGCAGCTGCTTAGCAGCAGCAGTAACAGCAGCAGCAGCAGCAGCAGCAGCAGCAGCAGCAGCAAAGCCGCCACCACCATGCCAGTGGGCGAACCCCCCAAGCCGCAAACCCCAGTAATTGAAGCCTCTAGCCGCCGGTGCTTCGAGGTTCGGGTTTGGGGCCTAGGGTTTAGGGTTTAGGGTGTAGGGTTTAGGGTTTAGGGTTTAGGGTTTAGGGTTTATTCTGCGCCGCTGGCCCACATGGCCTTGAGCCGGGTGTCTTTGGCAATGGCGCACTCCAGCTCATTCAGTTTCTGCAAAGCCTGAAGAATAAAAATAAATAAATAAATAAATGAATAACTAATAAATAAATAAATAAATAAATAAAAATAAATAAAAATAAATAATAAACTGACTCGAACTTCTTTTCTCGCCAGTCTTTGTTGCAAAATTTGAATTTCGAAATTTAAATTAATAAATTGAATAAATAAATGAATAAATAACCAATAAATAGCCAATAAATAGTTAAATAAATAAGTAAATAAATTATAAATAAATAAATAAATAGATAAATAAATAAATAAAAATAAACATAAATAAATAAACTGACTCGAACTTCTTCTCTTGCAAGTCTTTGTTGCAAAATTTGAATTTCGAAGTTTAAATTAATTTCCTTTTGGACTTCTTGACTTTCCCACTTTTCCCCTTTTGCTTCTCGCGCTCTTCTTTGCACTTGTTCCTGAATTCATTTATTTATTGTTTTATTTAATCATTTATTTATTTGTTTATTTATTTGTTTTTATTTATTTAACTGCGTAGTTATTTATTTAATTGCTGCTGCAGCGGCACAAGCAGCAGCAGCAAGCAGGGCAGCAACAAAACAATCGCAACATTCTAGGGTTTAGCGATTAGGGTCTAGGGTTTAGGGTTTAGGGTTTAGGGTTTACTTTGATTCGCTTGAGCTGTTCCTGCTTCTCCTCAAGCTGCTGCTGAATTGCGGCAGCCCTCCCCATCAGCCGCAGCTGCAGCACCACGGGGCAAAACCCTAAACCCTAAACCCTAGACCCTAAACCCTACAAGTTTCGAAAGGACACCAAACGATAGCCAATTATTAGTGCAAATGAGAGGAAAGGCGAAATGCATGCAAAAAGGGGCATATGCATTTCGACTCCATTTTGGACTTTTCTAGAATTTTAAAAACAGATTTAAATGGATTTTTCGATTAAATAATTAAATTTATTTAATTAAAATATAAAACAAATTGAAATTAAAATAAACAAACTGGATTTCAAAATTGCAAAAAATTGACAAATTCGCCAAAAAAATCGGCAGAAAGTGCTGCAGTTCAGGTGTATATACACCTGAGAAGCAGCAGCAAGCAGCAGCAAACGAAACAAAATTTGAATTTTCAAAATTAATAAATCTTTTCTTTTTTCAAAATTACTCGAAGTTCATTCTTGGCTCTTTTCGCAATCTCCTCCGCTGTCTTGCTGTCGATTTCCTTGCCTTCGAACACGCACAAACATGCGCTGCTGCTGCTGCTGCTGCAGCTGCTGCTGCAGCTGCTGCTGATGCTGCTGCTGATGCTTTGGATGACGCTGATGCTGATTGTGGGACGCCGCTGCTGCGCCCTGTGCGCTGCTCGTGCTTCTAGCTACGCTGCTGCTGCTGCTGCTGCTGCTTCTGCTGCTGCTTCTGCTGCTGCTGTTACTGTTGCTGCTGCTGCAGCTGTTGATGCTGCTGCTAGGAGAGAATGACCTTCATAGGCCACCATATATGGCGCCAGCAAATCAATCTGCAGCACAAACAGCAGCAGGAGCAGCAGCACCGTAATCACTATGTGAAGTGTAATATTATGCAGCAGCAGCAACCGCCAAATATGTTGCCGCTGCAGCAGAAACGCGAATGGCCATGAGCAGCAGCATCCGCCTTACTAGCAGTAGCAGCAGCAGCAGCAGCAGCGGAAGTCAGCAGCAACGGCAGCAAATTTCAGCGGCAGCATCAACGAGGAGCTGCAAGAGCCCCCAGTGGCAGCAGCAGCAGCAGCAACAACAGCAGCAGCAGCAGCAGCAGCAGTTTAAAAGAGTTCTGCTGCCTTTCCTGCTGCTTCTTGTCGCTCCTTGTGGGCTGCTGCTGCGGATCTGCAGCACCTGCTGCTGGCTGTTTAGCAGCAACATAAGCAGCAATATCCACAAGGGCAGGTGTGAGTGTGGGGTGGCTGCAAAAGGGGTATTTTGGCTTCCACTCCTTCCCCTCTGCTGCTGCTGCTGCTGTTGCTGCTGCTGCTGCTGCTGGGGTTGCGTCCGCAGCCCCGGGGGACAGCGTGCTTGCTGCAGCGGCGAAGGCCTCCGCAGCAGCAGCGGGGACTGCCGCCGCCTCTGCAGCAGCAGCAGCAGCAGCAGCAGCAGCATCGATGGGGCCCTCGCAGCTAATTGCTTTGTCCACTTTTGCTGCTCCTGAACTGTCTCCATCATGCCGCAAAATCCAAATCTTCTTTGTCAAAAGCTGCTGCTCCGTTGCTGACCGAGCTAGCTCAATAGCTGTTTGCTGCTGCCGGCGCCACTGCAGCAGCAGCAGCAACAGCAGCAGCAGCAGCAGCAGCAGCAGCAGCAGCGGTTGCGGCAGCATGGAAAGCAGTTTCAGCAGCAAACTAACAGCAGCAGAAATGCCGCACACATTTTTGCAGGCTGGAAGGTCAGGCTTCCAAAGATAGGCGCTGCGGGGTTTAGGGTTTAGGGTTTAGGGTTTAGGGTTTAGGGTCTGTGGCCTAGTGTTTAGGTTTTGTACTGCGTGGACTGCCTCTGCTTGGGGGATAACGGAGCTCGAAAATCTCGAGAGTAAATCCTTTTGCATTTTGCGAAAGCGAGCCACCTGCAGCAAGGGTTTAGGGTTTAGGGTTTCGGGCTTAGGATCAAGCCTTTAGGGTTTAGGGTTTAGGGTTTAGGGTTTGAGCTTTTGTAAGCGGCTTTACGAAAGGCTCACAGCAGCGTAGAGGCCCCTCGCTGCCCAATCGCATTCTCGCTGTCTGGAACTAGAATTAAGGGTTTAGCGTTTAGGGCTTAGGGTTTAGAGTTTAGGGTTTAGGGTTTAGGGTTTGGGGTTTAGCGTCTTTACTTCTGCTTCTGTGGGGGCCGGCGCTTTACAGCCGCCACTGAAGGGTGCCTCCTCTCCATCGTATTGCAGCAAAGAGCGAATCTGCAGCAACAATCCACACGTAGGGTTTAGGGTTTAGGGTTTAGGGTTTAGGGTTTAGGGTTTAGGGTTTAGGGTTTAGGGTTTAGGGTTTAGGGTTTAGGGTTTTGCCTCAGGCTTCAGAAACGTAAAGAATTTTCTTTCCATCAGGACATCGAGTGCATGTCAAATCTTCAACGCGGTTTTCTGCAAGTGAAACCCACCCTTTAGGGTTTGAGGCTTAGGGTTTAGCGATCCGGGTCCAGGGTTTAGGGTTTGAAGTGAGGCAAAGTGCACGAACACTTTAGAGCCAACGTCGCTGTTGGCAGCTGCATTCAATACTAAACCCTGAATCCCAAACCCTAAACCCTAAACCCTCAACCCTAAACCCTAAACCCTATACCCTAAACCCTATACCTTGAGGGTTTCGCCGCCTTCCTCAGTGCTCTCTCCTTCCTCCATTTTCATTGCGTGTTCTATAAGCCCGTCGCTGCGGCCTTCAAACTCCTCATAAATCTTTTTTCCGAACAGCTAAACACAAACCCTAAACCCTAAACCCTAAACCCTAAAGCCTAAACCCTAAATCCTAAACCCTAAACCCTAAACTCTGAGTCCTAGCGTTTGATAATCAGCAGTGTTGCCCGCCGGACGGTTGGCGGGTTCGGGCAAGGTGGTGGACGCGGCGAGCTGAGGGTTTAAGGTTCTGGGTTTAGGGTTTAGGGTTTAGGGTTTAGGGTTTAGGGTTTAAGATCTGGGGTTTAAGATTAGAGGCTGCCAGAAAGAATGAGCTCACCTCCACGTGCTTAATTAAGCCGTCGAGCCTGCGCCGCCAATCAAACCCTTCACAGTTCGCCCAAACCCTAAACCCTAAACCCTAAACCCTTTTGCTAAAGTCTAAACCCTAATTCCTAATGGCCCTACCTGGAGTTGTAGAAGTGCAGCTCACGCCTCTCTCCGTACACCTGAAAGCCTCCACACCAAGCTGTACCTCTCAAGATAAGGCTCAGGGTTTAGGGTTTAGGGTTTAGGGTTTAGGGTTTAGGGTTTACCGTAACAACTTCGCGCAGGGCGTGTGGATTGCCTGGTGCATATCTTTCGACTTGGCGGCGAGCAGCTGGCCAGAAGACGCGTTCCTCCAGCCCGTCGCTGAGCCCCAAACCCTAAACCCTAAAACCTAAACCCTAAACCCTAAACTCTAAACCCTAAATCCGTATCCCTTCGCCGTAGACAAACGGCAGCGCATGCACACCGTAAAAGTTTTCTGCTTATGGAGGCGGCTTGCAGGTGTATACTGTGGCCCTCAGCCTCTGGGGTTTAGGGTTTAGGACTTACATTTAGGGTTTAGGGTTTAGGGTTTAGGGTTTAGGCTTTAGGGTTTCCGCGTGTACTTCCTGTGTTCAAATTGGAAGAGAATTTCTTCTGGGAGGTTTCGACGCGGGTTGGAGTAGAAAGTGATGCAACGCACTAGGCCGTCCGCCTGTAGCAGCCAAACCCTAAACCCTCACGAAACCCTAGCTTAGGGTTTAGGGTTTAGGGTTTAGGGTTTAGGGTTTTGGGTGGAAGCGGAACCCGCCAGCCACAAGAGAGCTCTGGCCTTCTTGTTGGCAGCTGCGTAGAACTGGGGGCTTACGGCTTGGGCCCTAGAGCCCAGCGCCGAGGGTTCAGGGTTTAGGGTTTAGGGTTTAGGGATTAGGGTTTAGGGTTTGACCTGGGAGTAAGGAGCAAACTCCTGGAATTTGGCGTCTTTGTAAAACACTGTTTTTTGGCCTCCATAAAAAGGGTTTAATAAATCCAGAGAAGAGAGTTGAATGCGGCGGCACCAGGCGCGAGGCGCGAACAAAGCCTGCAAACCCTAAACCCTAAACCCTAAACCCTAAACCCTAAACCCTAAACCCTAAATCCTAAACCCTGTGGGCTCAGCCCTTTAGCATGAGCCCGCCGCTCCTGACCCCGTGCTTTAAAGGCTCGAGAGGAACGCACACGCTGCTGGCCAGAAACCCCAAACCCTAATCTCTGAAGCGTAAACCCTAAACCCTAAACCCTAAACCCTGAACCCTAAACCCTACGTTGACGTTCTTGTTCTTCCTGTCAGCGCCGAATTCAGCAAGTTGGTTCTCGTGCTCTTCAGTCTGCAAAGCCGCCCAGCTCTAAATCATAGACTCTAAACCCTAAGCCCTAAACCCTAAACCCTAAACCCTAAACCCTAAACCCTAAACCCTAAACCCTAGTTTTGTGGACCTTGGGGGGCATGCAGAGGGCGCATTCGAACAACCGCGAGTTAGAAAGAGAGAAATCAATTTCTTGTGCCTTCAGTTTTGGCCTCATGTTGACCTGCCACACAAACCCTAAACCCTAAAGCCTAAACCCTAAACCCTAAACCCTAAACGCTAAACCCTAAACCCTTAACCCTTAACCCTATTGAGGGTTGGCGGAAACAGCCATGCTACAGTGAAAACAAGAACTTATGCATTAGGGTTTAGGGTTTAGGGTTTCGGGTTTAGGGTTTAGGGTTGAGGGTTTAGGGTTTAGGGGACCCAAAAGTTTTCTTGGTTCCACAAGAAGTGCACGGCCAAGAAAGGACTGTCCTTCTTCTCGTAGACTTTACCTGAAGCGTTGCTTCAGCCGTTAAACCCTAAACCCTAAACCCTAAACCCTAAACCCTAAATCCTAAATCCGAAACCCCACATTTCGAGGCGCATCTCGCCTCGCAGAAAAGTGCTGCAACAGTTTTGTAGAAGCAGCGCAGTGGCAGGGTGAAGGCAGAGGGTTTAGGGTTTAGGGTTTAGGGTTTAGGGTTTAGCGTTTAGGGTTTAGGGTTTAGGGTTCAGGGTTTAGGGTTCAGGGTTTAGGGTTTAGGGTTTAGGGTTTGGGACCGCTAGCGGGGTCGATGTAGAGGTCTGAAGTAACCCCTCTTTCTCCAGCGCGAACCAAAACCCAACAGTAAACCCTTTTGTCTCGATGTTTATCTTTTGCTGCTGCTTCTTCTTCTTCTTCAGAATCCTCAGCTTTCAAAAGGGCCTGCACGCGAAAACCCGAGGGTTTAGGGTTTAGGGTTTAGGGTTTAGCGCATATCTGTGAGGGCTGAGGGTTTACGGTTTCGCGGACAGCGGATTTGTCGGCTTTGGAGCTCCGGAACGCAAGAATCAAACAGATGAAAGCTGATAATTAGGCTTTAGGGTTTAGGGTCTAGGGTTTAGGGTTTAGGGTTTAGGGTTTACGTTTTGTTTCTCCTCTCTTTCCTTTCTCCTCTCCTCAGCCAACTTCTCGAGCTCTTCATATCTCAAGGGTTTTGGCAGCTCTATTTTAAACGTTGTGTCGTCTTCATGGCCCTGCGCTTACAGCCCCTGAACCCTAAACCCTAAACCCTAAACCCTAAACCCTAGGCCTTGAGCCCTTGCCAACGCAGACACACGTGAATATCGGCCACCTATCATGCCCGACTACTGAGTTGCTTCAACGCCGAAGCTGTTCTAGTTAATGCAGCGAGTGCAAAGTTTAGTGTTTAGGGTTTAGGGTTTAGGGTTTAGGGTTTAGGGTTTAGGGTTTAGGGCTGAGTTTACTTGCGCAGCATCACCAGGACCTTCGTCTTTTGCGTCGGCCTTTTGATTGGGCGTCGAACGTTTGAACGGGCACAAGTCCTGGCTCTGCACACCACAAAAGGGTGTAGGGTTTAGGGTTTAGGGTTTAGGGTTTAGGGTTTAGGGTTTATGGCTTCCCCATTAGCCCTTGCCCTCACTCCCTCGCCCGATTTTTCATTCCGCCCCCTCTTTTGAGTTGCTTCTGGAGGCTTGGGGATTTTTCGTACAGCACCCAGCTTCTGGAGTTTAGGGTTAAGGGTTTAGGGTTTAGGGTTTAGGGTTTAGGGTTTAGGGTTTGCCTGGTCGTTGCGGGCCACGCTGCAGGGCGCAGTGCCCACTACGCAGAACGCGTCGAAGCCCGCGCCCAGCAGCAGCGCAGCAGCAAAAAGCGCCAAATCAAAACTGTCTCCTTTTTTGAATTTCAAAATTAAATCCAAAGAAGGCAAACAAGGGGGACACTGCTGCGGCGCTGCTGCTGCTTCGAAGCAAAAGTAGCGCGACACGAACCGGCTCACGCCCGCCACGCTGTACAGCTCCCTGCAGCAGCAGCAGCAGCAGCAGCAGCAGCAGCAGCAGCGGCGGCGGCGGCGGGGGGGGTGCAGGTGCGGGTGC